TTAAAGACTTACTTTTAAAGTACTAATCAATTTGTGAAAAATGTTGTATTGATAACATTTGCATAAAAAGATTTTATAATATCCTTGATCAATTTTTCTAAATATTTTCAAAACAGATTATTAATTTCATTTTCTTCTTACTCATCTAGTGAAATCATTTATTCTACATAATATTATGAGTTATTTTGGTGTATTTAATTGTTTTTTTAATTCATTTTTTAATTTATTCGCTATCTATTTAGTCTACATCAGTTTAAAGATTAGTATTAGAATTTGAGTATTCTTCATTAATTAATTTCATATCTTGTGTTATTTAAAAAGCATTTTAAAATATATATTATTATTAAATTAGTATTTTTTATTTTACTTTTGATTCTAAAACTGTTTCATAAAAAATGTAGTATTTTGTAATTTAAATTAATTACATCTAATAATTAAATATCATTTATCTAAAAAATTCTAATTAATATCTAATTATTTTTAGCCTTATTTAATGGTTAAACAAAGTATTGAATTCCTTATTTTTTATTATCTCATAAAATATTTTTTTTTTTCAGTATTTAATGAGGAATGTATTTATAATTTTCTAAATTCAGCTTTATATTATTTTATAATTATATATTTAAATTTAAATTGTATCCATTATTTTCTTAATATTTTTTTAAAATGAGCAATAATATATTATATAGTTGTAATAAAGTAAAAATCCACCAATCTTTATTAATAATGAAAAAAAATTTTGAATTTCCTATTTCAAATATTCATATGGGGAGGAAATTTCCCAATTTTTAATTAAATTTTTTATATTAATAAAAAATAAATTTTTCAAAAAATAATAAATGATGTCCTCAACATTCTTTTTTTTATTTAGAAAATGTTAAAAAGTATAAATTTTAGAAGCAAAATAAAGAAAATTTTCAGTTTTTGATAATTAAAAAGTTAGTGTTTTTACAAAAATTATATTCATTCTGATTTAAATAAAATAAGATTTCAATGAAACAAGAGTGCTTGAAAACTTGCTTTAAATTCATTAAAATCATTAAAAATTTCACAGTTTTTAAATACTCAAATGACCAAATTTAAACTGAATGATGCGTTATATTAATATTGAATTAATAATTTTAGCATTTTAAATTATGATATTATTTATTTAA